AATACAAGAAATTTTCATTTAATATTAATCTCGACCGATATAAATATTATTAAAAAAAAATAATTGAAATAAGTAGTATGGTACATATAAAATATACAATTTCATTGCAAGGACGTTGACATTTTTTAAAAGCAGACAATAAATAAATAGGGAGAATCACCAATTTAAATGGTCGTACATTTATTTTAAAATGTTTTATTTTAGTTATTTTTTTAAAATTTATTTTATATACTTTTTTATTATTTAGTTGTCATTTTCCCTCTGTTTATTATATATTTTCTGCATATATTGTGTAAATGTTGTCTTACCTCACTATAATTATTATCTATGTGACAGACATTGTATTACCCAATAAATAAATTTAAAAAAAATATGAGAACAAATTTCTGGAATGTTTCTTCAATTTCTGGTGCAAATTTACACGCAGTCATATTTTTAGAAATTACAACGAAGGATGAGATTAATTATTAAACTTATTTATTCTTAATTACAGACAAAATTTTAACAATGCAAAGGTCAGAATCACTTGTATATTTCTAGAAGCTTCCTTGCAATAAAAACTTTAAGGTACGTTGAGAATAACACGAATTAAAATAAAAATACCTGGCAAGTTGAGTTTATCCTTCTATTGTACTTTGTACCCACCGATCGAAAGATATTCTTTTCCTTTTACTCATCTATATTTTTCGCCTTTGACTGCCATTTGTGGGACACATACAATACATCGAAACGCGATATTCAATGACGTCAAAGGAGTTAAGTTGGAATTTAACGTTTATTATTTGTATGCACCTCATTATTGTGTTATAAAATAAATTAATTAAAATACTTTATGGTGATTTAATCAAATAGATGTATATCTCGATAGTGACAGTACAGTATATACATAGTATTTTTTATTTTTATTTTACTTTCGAATTTGTCTAATGAACACACATTTACATTCACATCCACACTCACACACTCGCGAACACATACACGAATGTATCTTCCGAATTCGGAAGATTTTCGGTCTAAATCTTCTTTCTCTTAAACTGAGCCAAGTTCTTCATTTTGTTGTGTATTCAGAAGTATAATTGATTATTTGTAGAAGTTTAAATTAAACGTTTTTTTAGTTTTTAATCAGGTAGATTTATTTTAAAATCTTCTATATAACTGATATAGTGATGCATTAGACTTCTTATTTTTACATGAGAAACTTTTCCTACACAACTTCATACTTTTTTTTCTTCTCAAAGTTGATTTATTTATCTCATTAACTGAGTTAATTATTTTTTCGAGAAAGTAAGTGAATGCTGTGTTAGTGAGGTTCCCAATGCGAAGTTTCATTGTTTAATCTGCATGGTTAAGTAATTGCATCCTAACAAGAGCTTTACTATTAATCTTCAGAATTTCACTTCTTTATACTTCATTAAAAGTTAGAAAAACTCATTCTATTTTCTATTCATAACGAAAAGTAAAAAAACAAAACAACATTTTATATTATTTGAGGCTCGTGTGGCAAGATGACAAATGCTAGGCTCTCGACCTAAGATGGGTTTATAATTGAAACACAAATATATTAGCAGAATGTATATATTTAAGTTGTTTCTTTTTGACTTTTAAACCTGATGTTTAAACCGTTATTAGCTTCGGAGGTTATGAATGAAAAAAATAATTGTATTCTGAGACTACTGTCCCCTATGAATAATAACACTTACAAATTTATGGGTCTCAGTCTAGCTTAGAACAATAAAAAATACAAACTCATTAACTATTGATTGTTATTGAAATTGTGCAGTTGATTGAAATTAAATAGTATACAGGTGCCAGTAATTTTACATGATTGCGAAAGTTTGAATGTGGAGTAAGTAGTGGAACAGGAGTTGTTTGAAAGAATTTGTAAACGAGGATTGACGTATGGATGTAGGAAGTGAGTTCCAAAAGGAGATAATTTTAAAGGATTTGCTGAAGGAAGTAGTTTTATGGGAGAGGATATATAAATCTATAGGTTGAGACATGGTATTAAGAGAGTGGATAGAGGAGCGTAGAGTAAGGAGTTCCAGAATGTAGGGAGGGTTTTTGGGTCTGAATACTTGAAAAAGGAAAACACTAAGGAGGAATTTTCGTAGGGAAGTAGGATAAAGCCACTTCAACTCGGTGTACCAGAATGAAACATACGACCGCCTGGGGATCCCGAAGATGTATCTTATGAAACAGTTCATGAGTTTCTTCAGTCTCATTTCTAGCCTGGCAGATAGCCCTCCATACACCAAGTAGACGTAGTCCAAGTGGGGGAATATAAGGCAGGTTACAAGGAGCTATCTTCTGCGGTTTTGGTAATTATCTGGAAAATTTAGTCAAGAAAGTTGTAAGAAAAACGGGCTATAAAAAATTAAAAAATCACAAACATTATTAATACCTAATTATATAATTTATCCCTTTTCTCCATTGGAATAGCTTCTCTTATATCTATTTTTTTCGAGTCTAGCTATGTCCTGCTGATAGTAATATAGGTAATAAATTTATATAATTGATTCGGTAAATAAAATTGTACAATACTTTTAATTTTTACAACTTATTACATATAAAATATATTTTATTTATTGATAAAAAATTAAAAATAATAATAACGGTTTTTCTTACAAAACTGGTTTCAGTCTTTATTAATTCAGTAGGCCCGATATGCTACAAAGCATTCCATTTGTAGATATCTTGCCTAAATTTAAAGTTTTCCTGGGCTATTGCGGTTTTAATGTCTTTTTCCGACCACTTTGGGAAGGGGAGGTTTTTGACTCTCTCAGTGATCTACTGCCCTCATCCCCTGGTTCGGAACAACCCCGTATAGCTTAAAAGTCAAGGAAGGGGAAGTGAAGAAAAAAATCAGACATTTCTGACTTTTTTGTAGACCATTTTCTCGTCATAGAATTATTAAATTAATATACCTAAACTAAAGAATAACACTTCATAGACGAGCCAAAGCATGAATCGTGGAAGAATATATATTTTTTATTTACTTGATTTGTTTTAAGAAATGCAAAAACAATAAACATGATGAAATAATACTTTTTATTGAAATATTTTTTTATTTTTGTTTATTTATTTATATGACTCTATAAAAATAAATATGGCCAGAGTACCACTAACTACGGGGATTTTATGCGTGAGACAAGTAGCTCGAAGCAGTCTGCTAGGAAGTCTCTGCACAACAATAAATGTCATACCAGATAAGTAGATAAGTTCCTCAAAGATGCTGCAGGTCTGCATTCAGAGAACTGGGAAGGAGTTAGTCCAGTAAAGCGAAGAAGAGGATCAGTTCCAGTTAAACCACTCGACAATGAAAACCGTGTTAAAAAATTATGAAGTGCCAGTACAGTACCTTATTTCATCTAGCGCCTTCTCAGACATACGATTCTTTCACTTTGGTGAGGAGCAGCTTTTCCTAGCCTGCAGTTTGCCTTATGCCTGCCACACAATCTGATGGTTGTCAATTTTTAGGTTTTTTTATATATATAATTCCCATCCTTCCTCGCCTATTAGGCTATACGGGGTTTTCTCGGGCCAGGGGTGACGGCAGGAGAGATTAATGCCAGAGAGTTAAAAGCTTCCTCGGCACCCGGACTCTATCTCGTAATTATTTTTGTCTTATAACTTTGTAATCAAGTATTAACGCGTTAGCCCGCTCGGCCATTGCTCTCCTGCTTGTCCGCAGGTAAGGTCTTTCTTACATTTAGCATTGGTATGACCATATTCCTGGCATTTCAGGTACATTTTCGCCTCTATAACACGGCGTCGCGTTAAGATACAATTTTGAATAATAGCCTATTACTGAGAGAACGAAATGCTGAACAATTCCCTCGCTTATAGTACGGAGGTCCTATTTTTATTTTATAAGATATTTCAATCCATGTCTTCAATTAAATCCAAATCTGCCATAAAACTCGTTACCATTTGGTTTTAGACAATACTTTTTCACTTTTTGGCTCTTTAACACAGCGTCGCGTTAAGATACAATTTTGAATATTTGAACATTTCTCTCTATTATAGTATGCAGTTCCGATTTTTAGTTTTGGGGATGTTTTAATGCTTATACAAAAACATTTCAGTTAGTTGACTCAAGCCGACTTTACCCGAGCGTTACACATCGGAGTTCTGACGGCTCAATCTAATTCATCTCAACATAAAAAAATGCAAAACACGGCTAAAGAAGTTTCGCTTCAAAATTTGTAAAAACAATACAATTCAAAAATAGACATTAAATATAAATTTAACAGTAATTTTATAGATCAAATTTGATAATGAAATGAAACTTTCTAATTTGATGATTGATAAAAAAAAAAAAAAACTGAACTAAAATTTGTTTTTCATGTCGTTGTATGGTTTTTTCTCCTATCCTTAGTGTTGCCCAAATGCTAGACCGAGACAAGTCTTGGTCTTGCAAACTCAGTCTTGGTCATGGTCTTGGTCTTGCACAAGAGTCTCGCAGTTACTTATTAGCTTACTATTATAGAGATATTACTGTAATTTTTTAGAAAGGAGAAACTTAACTAAGCCTAAATGAAAAAGTATATTGGTTATACCAATTATTAACATATAGTAACGAAGATTGTCAAGTATTAGTAACTGTTTGGACTTTACCGATTTTTTTTTACCAGTCCTGATCTTGGTCATGCAATAGTTAGGCGGCCTTGGTCTAGCAAAGTGCAAGACCAAGACTGATTTTGGGCAACAGCACCTACCCTTAACCATCGGTATGTTTTTTTTAATAGCCTTCAGTTCATACCCCGATTCATGTTGTGATTGGCAATAATTTTTTTAATCTCAATTAAAATAATTAAATCTTTATATAATAACCTAGTTTTCTTAGCTTGTATTTTACCACCAAACCGTACCTGGCGTACTATCTTCATAAATTCCTTGACTTGCCAAAACACGAGAGGACATATTCCACCTGAATACAGCTCGGAAGGGCAAGACGAAGGTGGGGATCCGCCTTGGTATATAATGCTCTGGGCCACCCTCACTACTTGCCAGAGTTGCTCGATCAATTGACGTAGTAGCTCCGAAGCCACCTTACACCATGGTATCCAAGGTCAGGACTTTATATAAATATATATGTAATAATATATAGTTAAAGTATATAATATATAAAGTAAAATAATAAATTAATGAGTTAAAATAGGCCGACATTTGGGATTTTAATATCTGAATCAACATCAATTTGTATTCGGATTTAGTCTGGAAAACTTTATCAATTTTTTATAATACGTTATAATATCTCTATTCTATAAGTATGAATTTTAGTTACCAATCCTACAAGCTATTCTTTTTTTTCTTTTTTTTTAAATATCTTATTCAGTACTTTTTTTTAGTTAAAGAATTTTTACAAGAAGAAAATCTATTTCATTCTTAATAATATTCGAGATATTTATTAATATATAATATACTTATTACTGCAAAAAATATTGTTTTTTTTAAATAAGTTCTAATATTTGAATTTCATATTTATAGAATTATAGTTATCAAACCTACAATATTTTCTTTTTTTACAAATTATAATTTTTTTTTCTTTAATATGTTCATTAAATATTCAGCATTTTTTTAATTAAAGGATTTTTGCAAAAAAATTTTTTTTTAAAGCACAGATTATCTATTTACTGATTTCATATGAATGAATTGCTTCAGTAGTTTCAATTATTAAATACTTAAAAGATAAACTTTTTTCGAAAGTATAATGGTGGGTATTTTTACCGATAAGTCTAGACTCACGTGTTTTATTAAAGTGAATTTAAACAAGATATCGGTTTTTATGATTTGTCTCTTATTTTTTCTAAAGTTAATATACATTTATTAACATTGTTATAAAAAACAAGGTACGTCCGAACATACTTCGTTTTGACACCAAAGTATAACTGAGTTTCTATTGACCGATGAGCCTTTTTCCCATTTTATTCCACACAGAAGGAGTCTGACGTTACATTTGTACCCAAATCGAAACAGTAATATTATGCTGAGGAAAAAAGTATATTAAAAAGAAAATTTGAAAACGTTAGGTTCTTCAATAAAGACCCTTAATTATAATTGTAAAGTTAATAATGACTGAATCGAAAATGGCTGACAAGCCACATAAAGAACTCAAAATATATGTTAAGTCGAATTAATTAAAACCAATTCGTTAGTCAACAAATCGTTTAGAAATAACATTTATTTCTTATTGTAAATATTAAAAATTCGAGTATTTAATTAGATCTTCATTTCAGTTGAAACAATCAATTATTCATTTATTTTACATCGTTAAAGAGTAATGCATGTTACTTTTAACTGATACGTATTTTAATTTATATATACATTAAGTGAAATATGTACGGACTTTTATTTTTAAACTAGGCAGAGTTAAACAATATAACAACCGAGTTATAATTAATTGGCTAAAAATAAAATTGTTGTATTAATTAATATTAAAAAAATATAATTAATCATCGATATAAAGCTGGGATATACTTTCGTTTTCCTGTTAGCCCTGAATGCACCTTCAGTTCGGCCGTAACCTGTTGCAGTATTGCGTTCACTATTTTCCGTTAGATAATTACCTTACGCGCTGCGTTTTTCGATCGAAATATATTTATCATAAATAGGATTTATTTATTTAAATTGTACTAAAAAATTAATTTAAATCGATTTTATTAGGTTCAAACAGAATATGGAAGGAACCCATTCCTTCTAAAGAAATATTCTGTCTTTTTTAGACTTTCGATTTTAAATAATCAATCCCAAGTCCATGACCTCTTTACCTAATGGATTTCTCGTCTGTTAAAATATCGATAGCCATCTTGAGAAATGCAGAATAGAGAAATTATTTATAGATAAGTTTGTTTGACATAACAATCTAAATACATGCAAATCGTTATAACACAAAATTTCGTAACGTGTATTATAATGTATAATGGCGTACATATTTAAATGTTGTGGAGTAGTGATAGAAATGATTAACATATCAATTATTATTTAACATAGAAGTTACTGTATTGCTTGACAATGTTATTTTTAAAAATAAATGCACACATATTTTGATTAGGAAATTAAAATGTAGTAGAAATATTATTTTGCCAAAGTAATATTTTACGAGGATTTATTGCTAAAATTATCTTAGTTATGATAAGATATCAGTGCTTAAACGACAATAACTGATTGATAAGTTTAGGATGTCAACAATAGTTGAAATATAAGATAAAATTAAGATATTTTTGGTCATTTAACCCGAAACTTCGATGATTAAATTAATTTTGAAGTTTTTAGGTCCTTTTTATCGTCTTTCAGTTATGGTAGTTGGATTTCACCGAGTTAAAATATAGTACACTTTTTGTTTTTCCTCTCAGGTGATCTTTTGCGCGCTCTTCGCCGTCGTGGTTGCGCAGCGCCAGCAGGCACAGCTGCCAACACACGGAGTTCCTGCCACAGACGATGGGGATGACGGTTCCTGGACTGAGGAAAAGTACGAAGCTCCAGTCAGCAACGATGTAGGAGGCCGACAGTTCGCAGCTCAGCCCCAATACAGGTCTCAACCTCAACCTCAGTACCAAGCACCGGCCCCACAGCCTCAGTACAGGCCACAACCTCAAGCTCAACCTCAATACCAACCACCAGCACCACAGCCCCAGTACAGACCGGCCCCTCAGGCCCAGCAGTACCAAGCCCCGGCTCCACAGCCTCAATACAGGCCACAACCACAACCACGACCTCAACCTCAACCACAGTACAGACCTCAGCCACAGCAATACAGCCAGAGCGGTGACTCCAGGAATGCCGCTATCCTTAGCGAGGCTCGCTACCTCCAGGGAGACGGTAAGTTCGGCGCCGCCTACACTCAAGACGATGGAGTAGAGTTCAAGGAAGAGTCCGACGCCGATGGAACCAGAAGAGGAACCTACAGTTGGGTCGACCCCACCGGAGAGAGGCGCACCGTGAGCTACGTCGCTGGCAAGAACGGATTCCAGGCAACTGGCGCCCACCTCCCAGTGGCCCCTGCAGGCCCAGCAGCAGCCGCTCCGGAACCACAACCTCAGTACCGTCCGGAACCTCAGCAATACCAAGCCCAACCTGAATACCGACCCCAACCTCAATACAGGCCGCAGTCCCAGGCTCCTTCTTCTAACGGATTGTACGATGTACAGTCTAGCTACTAATCGATTCTGTTTGTAAATGAGTGTTCCCTTTCAAAAACCTTCACTCCTGGTTTGAGTTCCTCTACTTTAGGTCGGAGTAAGGTGCTAGAGTAATGTAAATTATTATTTATAAATTTTAAATAAAAATAAATTATTGTCCTGGACGGTCAACTAGAGGCTCCAAATCTTTGACCAATCCTATTGCCATAACCATATCCACAGCTCCTTTATATGTTGGAAATTCCAGCAAAACTCTTTTCAGTTTTCACATATTTTTAGATTTATTCTCCTTCAAGGCGGAAATAATCAGAAAGGTGTGATAAGTAAATTTACAATGATACATTGAAACTTACTAATGATTCATACAAATAAATATTAATATAGTTTTTCTGAATAGTGGGCATAGAAATTTCTTGAACTGAAATGATTGGTACAAAATTTTTTCCTTGTTAAATATAATTTAATAAAAAATACAATAAACAATTATTGATTCAGAACTGAGATTTGCTATTATTCTGTAAAAGTGGCAAATCCAAATAATGGGAATATTTTTATTTGTACCATTTTAGGTTCATTACTTCAATTCCTACAGGTGGGTAAAAGCATAGAATTTGTAATTTTTATATAGTTTGCATATACCTCTTGTAGATTTTCCGATGCGATATGGCGAAAATGATATAATTTTTTATAAAGCTTTGTGAAATTTAGTCTTTCGATATAACCGTTTCACAAAATGTCAACAATATATTTATTTTATAATAATTTGTCTCTCACTAGTCAAAAGGAATGATATGAATAATTTTAAAAAAATGAGCTACTAAATTTGAAAATAATTTCAGGTCTTCCATTTTTCAATAATTATGAGGTGTATGAAATTTCCTTCATGTCTATAGTAGTATTGTTATTTTGTAATTCACACCCTTTTTTTATTACACCAATGGAAAATAACCAATGGAAAAGAAATGCGTTTTTTTTAAAGTCATTTTTGGTCGGAAATGGATTTTTTTTTTCGGTTACTCGATACCTTGGCATTTTTGAAATGTCATTACTATGAGAAGTTGTTTTAGTTTTTGAGGTACAACTAAGCATATTCTAATGAGAGTGGGAAGGTCGAGATTCTTCCAAACTTTTGCCGCTATACTCGAGAATATTAAAACAGGCAACACTTCGACATATACAGCTATCTCTTAGTCTTCTGACATTCACTAGCAAAAATGATGGTTTTTTATTATCGAAATAAGTATAATGGAGATATTGATTACTTTTTAGCTAAATCACTAGTCGGGGATCCTTACCAGCTTTACGGACGACAAGTTCCGTTAACCGCCTTGACTCAAGCGGATACGAATGGAAGAAGCAGGAAGAAGTGGCTTAAGGTCAAGGTCAGTGGAAGCAGACCTCTTGGGCGTGGCCTCTGGTAAAAAGTCGCGGTGTTGGAAAAGTGTCGACACTTCTCTCTTTGCTTTTATTTGCGGGGTGTGGCCTCGAATCCGGTCCTGCGGCCTTCAGCGTGTCCTAGCCGTGGTCACTGGTCTTCCAGCAGGATTAGACCGCCTTTGGTTCCGCGAAAGTAGCAGGCATGGCAGCTACTTCCTTGGTGTAAACTGTACGATAGTATGGCATTTGCAGTTTTGGTAGTACTTATTTATTTATTCAACCGTACTGTGCATGCGATCTCTGCCATTATTCGAGGACCGCAGAGGCAAAAGACTATTAGTACATTTTTGGAAAAAAAAAAATTAGGTGTATGGCAAACTGAAGATATTCCAGTCGATTTCATGGTCTAGAAATATATCTGTCCATCACTTAACTTCTAAACAAAATATTTACTGGGTGTTGTGACTAAGGGTTGGCTGTCAAATAATCCATAATTCTATGGATGACAGAAATTTCGTGTCCCATCCCAGAGCCGCTTATTTCAAACATGGTGGCTGATTTTTAAAGAAGGTTAGGTCAATCAGTTAAGGCTCAAAATAGACATTACTTTGCTAAAAAGAAGAAAACGATTTTATTTATTTATTTACTTTAATTTATGAGTGTAAACATATATATATATATATATATATATATATATATATATATATATATATATATTTTTTTTTTTTTTATATTTATTTGAATCTTGATAGTCAGACATCTTTTTATCAAATTATTAACATCTTCCTAAGATTTCGTGAATGGCTTCATCTTATCATAACCTAGAAATTTATTACCTACCAAAATTCATAAAAATTTCGCATTTTCTCATTAATTTAATTAGGTACTAAAAACTAATAAATACCTCTGTGCTTTCCACTTGAATGGCAAGATAATTTGTTTACAAAGCCTAAAAAAAAGGTGGCCTACAAAAATATTGGGCCGTTTGGCTTATATAGCCTCGTTATTTTGACATGTTGGTGTGGAGGTCAATATTTTTGTAGGCCACCTTTAGTCTCTATTTTGTGATCAAAATATGACTTAAATGGATAGCGAATGGGTGTTCATGAGTTTTTAAAACTTAATTAAACAGAAAAAGAAGTTTGCCGATCTCCTGATTGAAAAACCGACAATTAAATAAAAAAGTTGTAAGTTAATATGTGATGAAGCTATTCAAGAAGTTCTAGACGGATGTTAATAACTTTATAAAAAGTGGTCCAAGATCGGTGCATCTTCAAGGAATCATATTTTAAGAACTTTAAGAATGTTAAATTATGCGTCGAATGACTACCAAAAAGTTCTAAGTTTGCTAAGTGATATGTTTTAAAACCACGCTGAGCAACAATGATTTTTAAGGATGGTTTAAATTAGCAGTTTCTAATTTTTATTCATTTTTACTAATAGTTTAAATTTTGAAATAAACATCTATACAGGAGTTTTTATTTTCTATTATTATGAGTTTAATCCCTCACGGAATATAAAATATAATGCAATATAAGCTTATAAAATTATTAGCAATATAAAATTTATTGCAATAATGTGTACCATTTCCTTATATCATAATCAATATGTTTCGAATGTTTTATGGTTTTGTTATTACTAAGAAATCGTAAAACAAAATGGAAATACCATACTTGCCGTCTATCTTCGAGTTAATGAGATATTTGAAATTATGTAATTTTCCTTATTCCATTTCGGGCATTGTGATTTTAGGATTTATACCTTCTAATAGGTCAAGAGGTCACCATATAAACACTTACATATCATCTAAGAATGGCCGATGTTTTTTTCGATCTGGAAAATTTAAAAAAAATAATTGGTGCGGACATAATATAATTTTCACTTACCGCTTTATTTAAAACAGAAATTATTGCTTGGCAAAATTGGGCAATTACAAAAAGGTTTTGGATGACATTTTTAATGAAGGTAAAAGTTTAAGAACACTTTGGTGAATTTCGATCATATCCATTATTAAAAAAGTATTGAAGACAATCATAATGACAAAAATCCTATTTATTATATTTATACTAGGAAATAAAAACCTCGTATCTGCATTTGTCTATTTAAACCACTCAACTCCAATCTCTGAGCTCTAAAGAGAGATTTGAAAGTACATATATTTAATGTGTAAATAAATAGTACGTGTACATGGTAAAAATAATTATTGGAATCAAATCTTTATTATTTTTTACATGTATTAAATTTTTTTGGCTTGTAAAAGTTAATAAAATACACTTACGGCTTTTCATAACAGTATCTATAGGTTAAAAGTTGTCACAAGGATTGTAATGTTGTGATTTCAAAGAAGGAAAATTTATCGAATCATTCACTCATTTTCTTTTCTAAATGGTATTTTGAAAAACTGATCGATATATCCATCATTATTTAATTGTATTATTGGATCTAGAGTTATTGAACTTTAGTAAATGTATATAAAGTTATAAACATATGTTTTACCCTTCCGTGAAATATTTTTATCTTCAATTTCTTCTTTAACACATTTACAAAAAAATAGGTTTTTAACAATTCTATTGCCTCGATTCATTGGATTATAAATACCTTTTATAGATTATATATTTTTTTATTGGGAAATATTACAATATGTCTCAAAGGACATTTATAATAGTGTTCAGATATCACATTCACACTCTATATACAATAAATAATATTTTTTATTTTATTTTTTTTTTTTACAAAATTAAAAATTATTTTTTAAATTTACATTTATTAGAGTGCTACCAATGTGTAGTTTCTCAACAAGCGTGTTTCATGTGATAATATTCCTCTGTACACATTTACTTGATGTATTTATACTAATAAAGTTGTAAATATCATAATAAAAGTTAAAAAAAAAAAAATTACATTTGGTTAGGGAATTTAATTTTTTCCCATGAAAAAACTTGTTTTTCGTTATATAAATAATAATTTTCAGAAATTATTATTTATAATGTAAAATTAATATATCATCAAAGCTTATTCCTGTATTAAATATCTGATTTCCGTTTCGTGCGGCTTTTAGTTTTTGAGCTACTGCTGTTCGCACACTCACACACAGAACATTTTGCGGGATTTGGTTATTAAGGTTCTGGTTATCTGACCAAAACATGTATTTACAATGAAAACGTAGATTCGAAAATTTTTACGATTGCAATACATTTTCCCTTACTATATATTACATATATAAGTAAGTGAAAGTAAAAAGAACTGTTACAAAATTCTGGAGGAGATGAAATGAGGATAATCAGTTGAATATAATTAAACTTGTTTCTGTCAATGACCCTAAGCGGTTGAGGCATATAAATAAACAAAATTTAAATTAAAATTAATTTATCTTTTATAAAATATTTTAGAAATCATAATGTATTGCAGTATAGTAGTGCCTGACTCGGAAATAATTTATCCTAAGCAATACTGCCTTCAACTTCCTGCTAAGGTAGGAGTATAATAGTTTTAGCCTTGAACTTATACACAATCCCCGAACCACAAGAAATAAACAACAAAATTATGTTGAAAGGGCTCGCCTTTGGAATAATGTTTATAAAAGTGTTTTTTAAAGGAATAAATTATTTTTATCGTTAATTGAACCACCAGAGAAATCAGGCAGATCGAAGGAAATATAATTTTAGACGAAAGGAGTGTAATATGTTGTTTATAATAGAAATAGAAAATAACGGTGAAAATTCTGGGAGAAAGTTTCTTTAGAATAACAAAATAATACACAATTAAAAGGCTATATCTGGCCTAAATAAAACAATATTATTTAGGCTGTTCTATCACTTCCTGTGGAAATTTTAAATATTTATTTTTTCAAAGCGTATCATTTCAAAAATA